TTATTATTTAAAATATGTGTAGTGTAGAATAGTATTTTAAATCGATTAAAAAGGCATATCCATATTATATCTATCTTCATTCCAATCCTGGGTGCATAGCACACCGGCGTAGTCCGCGGTACCGTTGCACTCGTCGATAAGGTGACCACGAATATTGAAGGATAAATTTATTTCACAAAAATATACGCAACACCGCAAATCTACATTGATTAGTCAGAAGTAATCGGTTGTATGTATTGTGTAGTCCAATTTCTCTGTTATCTATTTCTCCTATTAAGGGAGGTAACTAATTTTCTTCGCGGTCATGTATATCTATGGCGATTCTATTTAGGGATACAAAGGGATATACGGTTTTTACCACTTAAATTAATCTATCGTAGCTTGTCGCAATTGAATAGTTACTTGTTAATATCAGTGTTGGAAATTGGACTATACGTTAAATGTCTGTCGTATGGTAACCCTACAACTAAGAACCACGGATGTGCATGTTTCGTTCGACCGTGACCGCTGCATGCTATCTCTATTGTTACTGTCTAATTCTGTGCTCAAGCAATTAACAATTTTTGTAGTTTAATGTAGTAAAAAATGTTCAAAAAACTATTGCAAGCTTATGTTAAGTAAATGGATAAATTTGTCAATAGATTTTTTTTCTTTTAATAAAGGATTTTTTTTCAGAAATATACTAGAAAAGGTTCATATATAAATCAGCGACAGATGACACCTTATAATTGGTTATTGCTGGAAATATGTTGTTAATTTTATATAGTAGTAATTTTCCTTTACCTACATAGAGAAAATGCATGTGCAACGTATTCTATGATAGTCGCTAGAATGCATTGATACCGCTACTCTAATGCGACCTACATTTCCCCCGACTTTATTCTAGATGTCTATAGAACAGGTTTTGATCTGCAACGGTTTATCAAGTTGTACATCTTATCCATTAGCAAGGATCTTATTTTAATGCGTCTTCGATTATTGAACATGTTTTAAGAGAAAGTAAACATTAGCCTAGAAAGTCAGCGATATAAAATTTCAATTTTATGTTTAAATGCGGGTATTTAAAAATAATTGCGGTACACTAAGTCGTTATTGGATCTGTTAGTTTCAATAATTCATTTCAATAAGAACCATTTAGTTTTTTGCTAAATATAAACAACCGTGTATAAAAATATCTAAGCAATTTATTATGGAAATAGGGAACTAGAAATCTAAAAACTTTTAAAATAAGCTATTCCTATAATATTGTAAAGAAATGCACTAATATATTATTTCTTTTATTCCAGTTTTATGCTTGGCCTTGGGCTTTAGCAATGCATTATGGTTGAGGCAAGGCCGCTCCGATCAGCCTAAAGACACCAGATTCGTTGGAGAGGCGACTAACGAACTTTCTACGACCATTTTCCAGGTAATTATGATAGAAAGTTAATATTATTTCCTATACATTACGTGACAGTTCTGGGTTCTAAGTATCAGGAAGTAAATTAACTTGATATTGAGGTCACAATGTTAGTGGATTAGTTAATCCATGTCACTCACTCGATAGCAAATGCATCATGTAATCAGTGGACTTGAATGTTTTGAATCAATAAATAAGCTTATAAAGGGAAATGGAAGGTGTGATTCAGTATTCAACTTTGTACCAAAAATATTTCGGTATTTAAACTAATCATTTTTAACATTAAAAACTTATAACGGTTTTAAAGTTTTATTGCACCAACATTTATTAATTCTTTCCTTATAGGGTTACATCGATGATAGTAACAACCTTGCTTTCTCACCACTTGGATATGCTGCTATTCTCGCGATCCTAGCAGAAGGTGCTAAAGGCGAGACGAAAAACCAATTAGTTTCAGCGTTGCATTTGCCAGAAAATCCAAATTTAACAAGAACTACGTTCCGCTACATTATGGAAAGGCTAAAGAATACAAATGAATATAAGTATAATCAACCCGAATTGAAGAATTTCTTTTACATTTACAAAAATTACACAATCAATGAGGACTACAAGAAAATCTTAGAAGATTATTATTTAACTGAGGTACGATCTGTAGAAAGATATCATTCAGAATTGAACAAATCGGATGACGATAGCGAAGTTACCGAGACAAAAGAAGACAATGAAACAAAGGACGAAATTTCAGAGCCTTTAGCCCTTAAAGATCCAGAAGAGAAGTATATTACGTTTGCAATGGAAGATAAGCCCGAAAAAGTTGATGTGTCACATGTAGGATACAAACCAGCAAAGAACATCAAAGAGAAGATAAAGCTTGTTAAAGCGTACGCCAAAAAAGAAAAAGAAGAATCAGAAGACGAAGAGGAGACTATGGTTGCGGTAGAAGCAAGAAATAGTGCTAGAAGTCTGAAAATCTTGCATGATAAAAATGACATTTCCTCAATAGTTTCTGTGAACAGCGTTGGCAAAAAATCCGGCAAACGTAAGTTTTATAAAAAAAAAATATTTCCATAACGATAAATTGGGACTTCTATTAATATTTTATTTTATTTTAGCTTCAAAATCAAACTCGTTAATGATAATCTTCAATGGAATGTATTTCCGAGGTTCATGGAAACAGCCTTTCGAGGTCGTCGAGCCTGGTGTATTTTACAAATCTAATACGATAAAGAAGCAAGTGCCAATGATGAAGACGACGGGGACATTTAAGACTAGTTCTTTACCTGATTTGGACAGTGAAGCACTTATGTTACCTTACGACGTAAGTAAAGAAGTCATCGCCAAAGACTGGTTTAAGTTGTTTATTCCGTAATGTTCGAGACCTGATTTATGCAATAATAAAAAGCGTCGAGAGATGGCTCTGTCTCGTTGGTTTAAAGCTTGAGTGTTATGTTATGAAACAAACAATTAACCAAGTAACAGCCTGAGTCGAGGCTCCTGAGGGAGCCCTCGGGTCCTGTTGCTCTAAAACGAGGTTATAGGGATGTAATTTTAAGAAAAATGCCACATTTCAGGGTGGACGATATGCTCTGCTTGTTGTTGTTCCCCGCTCACGAGATGGTCTTACACGCCTTATCGCGGATTTACCTTCGGTACCCATCGCTGATATTCAAGAGACGATGATCGATGAAGAATTACAAGTTTCGTTGCCTTCCTTCTACGTGGAAACAACTACTAAGCCAGTCGCAGCTCTTGCTAAGGTTAGTTATATTTTTGATGGCAAAAATAGTTACAACTATCAACTGAAATGATTTGGAATGAATACTTTGATACTTGGAACATGTGAGAAGCTTATCAATAAAGGCTCGTAAAAGACAATAGGATTACGATCATGGACATAATAGTGTTATAGTTATTGAAAGTTGTGTTAATTGCATTTAAAAACATATTCGATGTATTCTTTATGTATCATAATATGTTATCAAAAGCTGCAGTGAAGCGATTCATAACATATTATAGCTTCATGGAAACTTTCATGTTTAAAAAAAAACATAGATAAGAAAGTTTGATTTGGTCCACTAATTTTCACTTAAAACAAATTTATCTATGACTTGTTTAAATGAAAAGTAATTCATAAAAATACATATATTAGAATATATTGTGGATATTGATTATTAACTAACCGAACCTATGATTATCACTTTAGTTTAAAACTATTCGTTGTTGTTACTGTTACATCAAGACGTAATAAATTTTTACATTGTCCACCATATTTACTACTTTCCAGTTTGGTGTGAGTAACATCTTCAGTCGCGAGGCCGAGCTATCCGGTGTGTCGGAGGACGAGGGTCTTTTCGTACAAGAGTTGGTACAGCACGTCGCCGTCCGCGTGGATAACGCGCATTCCGCTGCCAATGAACTTTCTGGTAAGGATATAATTGATACTTCATCTTCTGTTGCTTTGCTGTTAGATTTAAAGAAGAAAAATGCACTGCCATAGAGGTCTATAACATTGCAGACTATGATACTTACTTATATGTGTGATTAAATTTTATGGAAGGAAGACTACAGAAATATACGTCACACCTTTTTTTATTATCTTCCATTTGTATAGATAAAAAATATTTGTTGCAGCTGCCAATCCAGGAATTGAATCATTGAAGAATGCTCCCTTCTATGAAGAGAGGTCACCACGTCGCTTCTGTGTCGAACATCCTTTCATCTTCTACATCATGGACCGTCTCGACAACCTCGTAGTGGTCGCTGGCAAGGTGACCGATCCACAACAGCCAACCACATTCGAAGTTTAAATGTTTTAAGATTTTTTTTAGCTTAGTTTTAATTTTTTCGTACTTAAAGAATTTTATGTATGTGGGCTTATCTTTAATGATTTCTATGCCACACTCAAACCCACCCAGATATTTTGTCTTTTTAATTTTATAGCTTGTTCTCATGTCTATGAAATTTTTAATTGATGCATCGATATTTGCTGTGAATTTATGAATTTCAACGTTTTTTTTTTTATTATTTCAAATCTAAATCTAAACCAGAGGCATTTGATAACGAAAAAGTACACAGCGTAGTTAAGTTAGAATAAGTTTTTATTTTTTAATTTATTGTAATTTTTGTGAATGTTGTGATATGTTATAGAATAAACTATTTATTTTCAAACAATTATATTTATATGTTTTACCCTGCAAGGTCTACCTAATATGGAAATGAGACATGTCTGTCTAAAGAAAGAAACGGAAAGTTATTGCAAATCCTATTCTATTCAATCTCTTTGAGCAAAGTTTTCTAAATACATTTTTATAGTATAAATCAGCATCAGTTAATTTATCTGTTGTATATTTATTTTAGTGTTAACATTAAAATAACACAAGTGATAAGAAGATCAAGTTTTTCCAAATTAAGTTAATTTTAAAATTAAGTGTGAAAATAATTATTTGCTTTTAAATGTTAACAGGCGTTAACAAGTATCTTATTACAAAAAGCGATAAAAAGTATTAGTTCGAAAGCACTTATTCAAAGACATCTTTCAATTACAATCTGTATCTAAAATAGCGGTTGTGATGTTGAAATTATAATCTATGCAATTTTATTTTACAAATGTGGGTAGTTACATTCCTATACTTGAAATGGATTTGTGTTATTAGAAGTAAATGTTGCGCTGGTCGCGACAAATGTGTTGAAAATAATAGTAAATATTAGTGTTTATGCAGTTGAAAACGATATGGAATCTGATAAAGAGAATTTGAATAAGTGGATCGACAAAACACGGATACCTTTACCATTACAACCATTGCCGGCTTTACCGAAGCATTTATTGAAAAGTGACCAGCAAAGAGTTCCATTAAGAAGTCTTAATAGCGTCGATCTTGTAGCTGGATCGAGTCGAACGTACGGAAAATTTGTATCTCATAAACAAAATGTTCAAAATCAAAATACAGGGGGTGATAAGTTTGTAACTTTAAGACAAAAGAATGATGACCTCGATTGGGACCTTAAACTTATAAATGACAAGAATAAAGACGAAGAAGATAGTGTGATAACAATTAGTGATGATAGTTTTAGTGAAAAAGAAAATTTAGGAACCGTTGAACCGAAAAAGGTTAACACACCTTACAAATCGCCAATATTAGAACCGAATAAATTTAAAAATGTAAAGAGAAGTTTAAAAAGACCGCACAGTCGTGAGTTGCAAGGACTTTCACCGTTAGGAGCGGCTGAAAAAAAAGGGGATGAGAAACATAAGCGACGTTTGAAATTCGATGAAAATTTCCGCGATCTACAACCTCCGGATTATTGTAAGTCGTTTCAAATAGTATGCATGTTTGAATATTTATACCAATTCACAGAAAACTATATCAGGATTTATTAAAGTATCTTATACACTTTAATGAAACATATTTTGTCAATTTTCCTTAATATTTGACCTTTGTAAATCTTGAAATTATTAAACTTGTCTTTAGTCTTTGCGCATTGTTAAATATTTCAAAAAAAGAATACCTAAATAAGATACACGTGTTTCATTGCAAAATACTGGGTAATTTTATTTATAGTAAGGTAATTTAACGCACTAAAAACTATGACCTCTGAAACGTTATGGATATGTTTGCTTACAGGTGAGGAGTTGTATAAGAAGTGTCTGCACAGCGACTACGCGAAAGATATGTTTGAATATTTGTTAAGCGTTGAGACACCAGGCCAAGTGTCAGTTCTGCCAACAATCAGTCGTGCTTGCGTTCTTAATTGGCTGATGAAAGTTAATGTAAGGCATTTTAACCTGATATTTTGTAACAGGCGCTTTTGAAATAGTTCTAAAGCCTTGTCACTCCAAACTTAAGATAGGTTCCAGCTTAACGCGTATAAGCTGACGATTTATGACATTTAATTTCCTTATAATCTAGGCGAAAAATGGAATTCAACTAACTGTCTTGTTATTAAACTAAATATTAATTATAATTAAAGATTCATAGCCGTTTCATGGCCAAATCTTTTATCCTCGTCTGCCAAAGAAGTTAATTGATCGTGTTATAAAATTTTTTAGAAACATTCTACACAACCAGTTTTATCAAATTTCATATGGAAAAAAAAGAAATACAACTGGCCGGTTATAGAAACTGGTATTTTTTTTGTTTATTTATTAACGCATACAAATAGCGTATATTCTTTATTCAGTAATTTTTGCGAGACAAATCTATTTATACATGTTCTATGTAAAAATAATTATTCATAGTTAATCATCATATTTCCTCTTTTAAATCATTAATTAAGTTTTGAGTGAAAAAATTCACAACACAACAAACTGCCGTACACAGAGTCCTTAAGCTATTACTTAGGTAGTTGCTTGGTGTAGATATATGAGAAATGGATTTGAAGAGTATTATTAAAGTCGATGATCTCTATCAAAATCGTGACTGTATATTTCATAAACCTGTATAATATAACGCGCCTAAACCAGTCATTCTGAATTGGGGTTTAGGTAAAACCAATGACGTTTTCCTCTCAAATAGTTCTCATATAAATGCCATTAGAAAATTGCTAATAAATCGAATACTAAAAATAATCAATTAAGTATTCACTAGATAATAACAATGAAAATATATTAAAGAAAATAAAAGTAGGTAAAATGCCAAGCAGCTTATTCATCTTTCTGCATCAATCCATTTTCCTTTTGACAAGATTTAAATTGCGGGATTCGAACCTGCGACAACGTTATTACACGTACCCTGAACTATGAAACCATTAACACTGTTTCAAGGGTCCTCGAGGAAATCCGGCGGTAGTTCAGACCGCTTGTTGGTACTTGGACTCCGTGCTCTGCGGTCGCGTAGTCCAAGTAGACCAGTTGCAGCTGGTAGCCGCTGCATGCTTCTGGATAGCGCAGAAGATCCACGGTCCTGTCTCGTTAGCCTCCAAACTCGTAAAGTACTCGAACAGAGCCTTCAGTTGCAACCAACTCAGGAAGACTGAAATGGGAATCTTAAATAGACTGGTAAGAACATCTTTGATTCTTCTTGCGAGATATATGTATGGTCGTGGCTAAATATACAACCTCGGCTTTGACGGCATTGGTTGGAAAAGCAGATGACAAATAGAATGATTTCTAAGGCATTGAAGGCGTGAAACAAGTTTGTAGTTGGATAAAATAAAATTAACGATATTTAATGAGAATTTAGGTGTTGTATTTTTGTCACATAAATTATTATTTATTACAGAAATTCCCTAAACAACCGATAGTACCTCAAGATTTTATCACCTACTTATCATGGGTTTCAAATAAATCTTGCTTCGGAGAGATCGAAATAGCCGCAACGTTTCTCTGCATGTCCGCTCTGATGATTGACAAGTCCTTCAGCTCTGAATTGCCGTCAGTCATCGCAGGAGTCTGTGTACGAAATGCTCTTATAGCGCTCGGAGATCGAGAATCTATCCAGCGTCTTCATAATTGTCCAATGTAAGTACTTAATTCTTATGTAATTAAGTCAATGGGATTTTACGGATAAGAGGATTCTAAATTGGAACGCCTTTTCAAAACAGGTTTCCCATTCCAAGACTATATTGCATGTATTTAAAATATTCCGGCGATCCATTATGTGTATATTTCATTTTTGTCCTTAGCGCCCGAATGCATTGTGCGAGAGATTTCCTGTATAAGCATGTCATAGCACACATATGCAAGAAACTTTTTTATTAGTCTTTAGGGCTCGATAGTCCGTACTTTTTCCTACCCCTTTTATTTACATCGCCAATCATTTTCATTAGGCGTTAACCCGTATAAGAGGACGCGCGTGTTGTATAATGATAAAGTTATGGCCCAATGATAATGCACCCTTACAAAATGTAGTTAGAATTATTAGTAAAATTAGTACCGGATGTAAACAAAAAACTAGGTATTGAATAAACGAAAAAAAAAGATATTTAACATAGAAAAGGCAACATTTATGCATTCAGTATATTGTACATTTTGTATTATCCTGTTATTCTGTCCACTTCTTGTGTTACAAAGATCAATCTTTAAAGATCATTAACATAATTATGCAATGGATGCGTTATTAAAAAACAAGTTCTTTTTGTTAGTATTTTAATAATTAATTATTTTTAACAAATATGATAAAATGTTTTTATTATTTTCAAGGTCACTGGAGCAATTACGATTATTTGTTTATCGATTTGACGTCATGTGCTGTACGGATAATAAATATTCAGCACGTTTGTAGACTCAAATTTGATAGTGCTTTAAATCCTAAAGGAATATAACATATATATGTGTAGATTAACATTTATACTGGAACAGGATTCTATGGTGGACGAATCAAAAATGAGATTGGTTTTTACAGGTCCACGTTAGTATTTCTGCCAAATAATAGTCAGTTTGCTAAAAACGTGTTTATTTTCCTTTTAGATTTCAAGCAATACAGAAAAAAACGGAGAACGTGTGTGCAATATGTTCGCGGTTACGTCGAGCTGTCGGTGTTGTCGCACAAAACAATTTCGAATACAAAGCGCCAATCGAGCTTTTCGGTGCAGGTCCACATTTTATAGCGCAAAAAGTGATAAAATTTGTAAAAGATACATTCGCCGTCAACTGTACATAGACCTTTTTGAGGAAAATGATCACAACATAATGGAATAGTGACGTGATCTTAAGACTGGTTGGTTAACTTTATGAATAAAAAACAAGATGGCAGAATGCCTCGACTGACCGACTGTACTATTTATATGAATATTTTAATTGTATTTTACACTTGGATTTTTCTTAATGCCTAAAAGTATAAAGAGTTTTGATGTTTCATGCTATTATAGATTAAATTTATGTGGTACAATTTAATCGATTTTTGATCTTACATATGTGTAATTATAAATAAACTTTTTTTTTAAATTTTGAATAATAAGTAATCATGGTTCTCTTAGAAATGGCATCCACTCTTTGATAATGCCAGAATATGTGACATAAAAATAAATATAAATTCCAAGTAATTTATTAACTTTAACTCACGTTCAGACTTTTTTCTAATTTTTTATTCTTCCTTTTACTTTTTCCTCTTAATTCTATTTATTTAAAAAAAAAGCAAATAGTTAAACTTTTTATAAAGCACTAAAATAATGTTCTAACATCTGAAAACTGGTCGGTAGTAAAAAAAGATTAAAAAATAAAACCCACTTTGTAGATGGTATTTAAACTTGAAATAATGCCTTAAAATAAATAAGGCTAGTTAATTTTATTTGAAATGTGTGTTTTGCAAAAAAAAACAATTATTATTTTTGTATTAGAAAAATAATTTAGTACATTTATAACAGTAACTTCCCATAAGCTTGACATTTATAACTTTTAAAATAGCATTATAGGAACTCATTTATAGACTAAATAAAAAGACGAATTTAAAAGACTCAAATGGACTGACTTTGACGACCAAGGAATAGACATAAGAAAATATTTAAAAATTGTAATCATCTTGAAAAATACTTTGTAAATAGATAAATAATAAAAATATTTAGCATGGATTTTATTTTTTTTATTACCTAAAGGTCAAATAAAGTTAACATAATTATTGATAGAAAAGAATAATTTTATAAATCCCCGATCCGATATTTTAAAAATAAAAACATCTCATCTTAAAGCGTCAGGAAAACAAAAAAACCGGCTGCCGCGGAAAAACCAAGACTCGAAATGTCTACTAAGTTGTTTAGACGACTCGTATCATGTGAAGATGATGCAATAAACAAAAACAACTTTATGCCTTATGAGATATAGTTCTAATTTGATTGGCATAGAATTTGTTATGAAGGATCGGACAATTCTGATGTTTGTGACCATTCGGCTTATATCGGACTTTAGTTGTGGCGAGCAAACGTGTATCTTGTTGTACAGATTAAATATATCACATGAATGTTGTTAAAATACATTGTTATTCTTTATAATAAATAAATTGCTGTTTATTGTTTAATGCCAGTGCATCATTTAAAGTTAAGATGTTTTTAAAACGTAAGTAAAATATTTTTTTACTGTCGTGAGTCAGTGGTGATGTGCATGCAACAGATAATGTATTGTTATTATACTTATTACTTCATTTAAGTAACAAAATACTTTTTACTTACAGTAATAATAGCATATTCCATATTAATATGGAAAGCAGATTCCCAGAAATATCAATCAAATAATGATTTTGAACGATTTATTCTTTCAAATATTCCGCAATTTAACGTAGATCCGTATGGTGGTAACGTATTTTCTTCAAGATTTTCACAGAATACGGATGAATCATATTTAAATAATGGACTGGGAGCTCAGAAAAGATCAGATTACCAATCTAATGTACGGACTCAGCTACCAATTCAAAAAAATAAATTGCAATCACAACAGACAGTTATTCAACCCAATGTTCAACAACAAAAGAAAACACAAATTCAAACTAACCAAAAAAGTGTTGCAATCCCGTTACAATTGCAACAACCACAAAATTTGCAATCACAAAAACCACAAAATTTGCAATTTCAACAGACACAAAATTTGCAATCACAAAAACCACAAAATTTGCAATTTCAACAAACACAAAATTTGCAATCACAACTGCAACAACAGGACACACAAACACAACTGGGCATAGATCAACAACAATCGAATCTACAGCAACAGTCAAACTTTTTCCAACAAAATCAGCAACAGAATATCCAACAAAATATACAATCACAGTACCAACAGAATATAAAACCACAACAACAGAGTTTTCTCCAAAATCAGCAAAACCAAGGACAATTTAATCTCCAGAGTCAACAAAATCAACAACAAAATTATCTCCAAAATCAGCAAAACCAACAACAAAATTACCTTCAAAATCAGCAAAACCAACAACAATTTTATCCCCAAAACCAACAGAATTATCTCCAAAATCAGCAAACCCAACAACAGCTGCCAGTCTATCAGCAATCTCCAGATTACGGACAGAATAATCAAAATTATTATTCGGGTCAAACGAATACACAATCAAAAAACACCGGTCTACCATCGAAATTTGGCACTGACAATACCGGAAAAACAAGGCAAAATGCAAATTACAACAACGAAACACTGGCTTTAACTAAATTTGCTCTGAAATTGTTTAAGGTGAGGTTTTTTTTTACATTTAGAACATATGTCATGAACCTTTTAAAATGATTCCCTCATCTTTAACGACTCGGGATTTTTGTTTTATTTTTTGTCTAGTTCATAAAAAAAGTAACTGCCATCACCAGTAAACATTTATTATAATTAATATCTTGAGTTCCTAGCTATTGCATACTTAAATTAAAAATATGCACACTATTGAGAAACAAGGAAAACAATTTGCAATATGTAAGAATGTTGGTTTTCCCATTTAACATCCTTTATTTAATGGTTGTTTTATAGATGATAAAATAATCAATTTTAAATGAATTTCAGGCTGCAGTCAGCCAGGAGAATAGTGTAATATCACCGTATTCGATAGCATTGCTTTTAGCACTTGTACAACAAGGCTCGTCCGGATACACGGAACAAGAAATCACTCAGGCTCTACAGTTGACTCCGGACGCATCACAAACATTGTTTAAAGGAATTAAAACTTTCATGAAGGTAAGATGATTGTTTTTTTTTCAAAGTTACAAAGAATCAAGTGCCCATCCGATGTTAAGTATTAGAACCGATGTACACGGATACTTTTGAGGACTGTTCGACCGCGAACGTTGGCACTAACTGCAATGACATGAGTCCCAAAAGTGACCCTAACTGAGACATGTTCATACTGTCATGGAATTCTTATAAAAACATGTCAAGAAATTTTGAATTTCGAATTCAAAATTTAAATAAGAATTTTGATCTACCTTGTTACAGAGTTAAAAGGTAAAGTTATAAAGCTATGTTTGAGAGATCAAACCAAACTGATCGTGAAAATATTGAAAGTCGAATTTAAAGTCAAATTGAACGAATAGATCATATATATTGTATTATGTTATATAAGTTAATTTAGACTTCTGGTTACTGAATATATAATAATATTTGGGGTTGTCGGTAAGTAGGTATATATTTTATATTAAATTTATATACTAATAAGATAAATTATTAAAATTAGGTTGTTTGATTTCATTCGATTAATTTTATTCCTTTTCTTCTTTTAATAGAAACGTGGTTCCAGCAACATTTTGAAGATTGCGAGCAACGTGTATGTAGCAAATGGCTTTACAATTGATCAGAAGTTTAAATCAAACGCTATCAATGCTTTCGGCAGTGACGTCACCAGTGCAAACTTTAACGATCCGTACGGAACCTCCGCAAGGATAAACAGTTGGGTCTCTGACAAAACGAATCGCAAGATTAAAAATCTTTTGACACCAGGTAACGTCTTTTAAGTTGCCATCGTATAACAAATGTGACCTTTTTTACATATTATTATAAAGTTATGAACTTTTATGTTACTTATGAAATAACTTACACTTTACTTACAAACATAAATATAAATATAGTAAATAGTTTTAGATGTTAGTCTTCGATTTTTAGTATCTATATCAATTATTGTTTATTTATGAAATAAATAATAATCTAAACTTAATTTTAAAATCCTAGCAACCCGATTGATTGTAAATACATGAATCTTATTGGACTCCATTTATTTGGCAGCACTTTAAACTATATGTATGCAATTTGTATACAAATACAAAAACCCACATATACATGAAATCGGGCTTACATACGCGCAAACATAACTTAATAGTCGGGTAAAAATGTCTATTTTCTCATTTCAGAGTCAATAACACCGGCTAGTTTAATGGTGTTAGTGAATGCTGTATACTTCAAAGGGAATTGGGACATAAAGTTCAGACCAGAACTGACAGAGGACAGTATTTTCACGCTAAGCGATGGCTCCCAGAAATTAGCAAAATTCATGTACGCGACAAGAATGGTCAGAACCGACGTCGATCCTGCACTTAAGGCGCAAATAATGATACTCCCATTCCAAGTAAGCTATTAATGAAAATAAAAACTTAGAAACCATTTCCCAATGCCTGCAAAAGACCATAAAATAAATACCACATTCTTTGACATGGTGATGTTCTTCAAAAAGAATGGAGAATAAGATATAGGATATAGAGTAAGGGAAGGACTATTTGACTAGATTTAATTGATTTGTTTACGATAAGTATTTAGTAAGAAAATTATTGTATTAAGCCGTTTTACAAGAAAGTTATATTGTTTTTGATATTTCAGGGCAGTGAATACTCCATGATGTTCATACTTCCACTTAAGGGAAACAACGTGAATAACGTACTTCTATCGTTGACGGAGCCACAACTCTACTCATACCAAAACCTTGGCCCTAAGGAAGTTAAAATTCAAATCCCCAAATTTACTGTCAAACAAGACAGTGACGTACAATCTGTTTTAAGTACGGTAAGTTAATAAAGTCATATTTAAATTATAAAATAATATTTTTATAGGACTCAGAGAGGGTGGAAGAATTTTTGGAGTAAATTCACATCCTGCCAAATTTTTGCAAAAGACAGGAATATTACATTCATGACATATTTTTTCTTCTTCTACAGCTTGGTCTTTGGACAATGTTTAGCAATGAAGCAGAATTGCAGAGAATTGGTCAAAAGAATGGTATGTCGCCACGGATCTCATCTGGTGTACACAGCGCGCTTCTATCTATTGATGAGAGCGGAGGTTCCGGTGGCGCTGCCACTTCTCTGTCAGTGGTTGCTCTTTCCTACGATGATCCATCAACATCTTTCACCGCCGATCGACCCTTCCTTGCAATACTCTGGGATAATAAACTTACGACACCTCTCTTTATGGCCAAAGTTGAAGATCCGGAACCGTAATTTTTAGTAATTTTTATATTTTAGTGTAAGGATTGTGAAGTGAGGTGATTAAAAATTTATATTCACTCCCGTTCTTATTATTTTAGCAATTGACCAGAATGAATGTACGGTTATAACCGTATTATGGAGTTCGTTATCTTGGCGATAACTACTAATGGGCCAGTAAGTATTAGCTTACTATTACAAAGAAACAACCGTAGCGTAGGGAGTTGCAGACTTTTAATTCGGTTATGGTCTTAAAATAAAATTATACAATAATTTAAATACTTCTCAATTACATCGAATATTTTTTCCTTTTGATTCTCTTAAAGAAATTTATAAACGGATCATCGGCGAATGTTTTTGATTTATCTTCGTTGTAGAAGTCTTCGATTTCTTGTAGAGTTTTGCCTTCTGTTTCCGGCAAATAGAAGTACAAGTATATAGCGCCAAGGAAACCGCACCCTGAATAAACAGCAAAAGTGCCCCATAACTTTAAATTGATTTCTAGGTCAATAAATGTTTTCGCAGCGAGGAAACTGAAGATGTAATTACTGGCTGCCGCGATGCCTTGAGCTGAGGCACGACTCCTAGAAAATAAATAATTATTTGTACATATCACTAAACTGAAGAGTGAAAGGTTTTTTTAATTTATAATGAAAAAGGTAACGCAAGAACTAAATAAAAATAATTGCTGTTAATAGTTGTGTAGGCACAATAAAACTATTTCAACTATTTCATTGGCACCAGATAAATTTAAACTTTTGCAACAAAATTAAACTTTCCTCCTATGTAAAATACTAGACTACTGGACACTACTAAGATATATCTCACCTGAATGGAAAAACTTCTCCAAGCAGTACCCACGGAACGGCGAGTCCGGTGAAAGTAGCCACCATATAGAATAACACCAAAGGTACGTAGCTCTTTTCCGTCGGAAACGTATTAGTGTCATAAGAATAAACGGAGTCTGCGAGATTCTTTCTGGCGTAGGCGCTGAGAGCAGCACAGGATATAGCAGTACCGATCATCGCTGATACTGCCAGTTTGCGTTTACCAACCACTTTTATTAAAGTCACCACTATGAGGGCAGTTAAGAAGGTTATGATGCCGACCATAAGCTGAAATAGGAATTTATCAGAATTAAAAAATATGAACAATCTAAAGGCTTCCAATACGAAAGTTATCCCAAGAATCGGACTATGTATTATGTTTGAAGATGTTTTGAGTTTCTTACAACAACAATTTTTCCGTCTTGCGCCATGCCAAGTGCACCGCAGATGTTCACCATGTTGGGCCGTATGGGTGCGAGGCCGCTCATGACGTAGAATAGAAAGTACATCATTACCAGCACCAAGGGTCTCATCGTCTCTTTACACAGCATCACGTATCTAAATTTGTACATAGATCTGTAATAAAAAGTAAACGCACATTGATGTTTTTCTATAAGGTAAATTAGACACTCTATATATTCTGTGACTATTAAGATTTTCCGTTTCGCTTGACGAGTAATGTTTTGCGAGTCCTATTACGGTTCCGTAACTTTTTTTGTAGCTACCAATAGAAACAAGGGCTGTAAAGGCTACAACAAATTTAAAGCAATATACACCTGCGTAAGTTACTTTGTAATATACCTTTTAAATGAATTCATTTTATAGTGTTCACAACTCTTCGTCACGTCATCTATCTTGTCACAAATGACACACTTCTGAAGTTTCTTACTGTACTCAACCAGTTCATCAAATTCTTCTTTAACGTCTTCTGGTTTAGTCCAGCCTCTCAAATAGCAAAGAGACTTCAATGCATCCTTTTCTCTTCCTCTAGAAAGTAACCAGACTGGTGTTTCTGGGACCTTAAAATACACCATAAGAATGTATCATATAAATATTTGCCAAGAATAATGATTGCACAAGAATTTTCACTTACCAGGAACACGAAAGCCATAGAGCTCACGGGTACAACAAGACTAATTAACGCCGCTTTTCGCCAGTCCACCACGGTGCCCAGAAAGTACATAACGAATACACCGATTGATGTAAATAGTTGTGTCAGAGTGCAAAGAGCACCGCGTACTGATGGCTCACTGGAAAATGTAATTAAATACCAACAATTACTAAATAATAATAGTTAAGAATACTTTAATTGTCAGTTAGACTTTCTGCCGTGATCTTAAAAGCCAATGAAAAATCCATTGCTGTTAACATTTTCTAGCTGTTGCTGGATCATTATCTAAGCTATTACTCATATTTCTTAATTTTACTTACTATGTTATAAATAATTATAATGACAATTAAAATGGCCTTTATTAGACTGTGAAGATTTGAGAAGGATTTTTGCTTATGTTCAAAAACTTTCCTAACATTCCTAACCTTGATGTTTGATTCGTTCAGGAATTCGGGTCAGCGACCACAAGTAGATAATAAAGAGCCGGACGAGAGACGTGCCAATACTACTCTATTTGTGTGATTGAAAATCAATCGTTTCAAATTTCATTATTTAATAGACTCGAAGAGTCACTAACATCTTCGGAAACATACATCCTATCTTTCAGGATAAAAATAAATTATTAGTGAAGTGTAGTTAAAATTAAAACTGAATCAAATCTAATATTAAGACATTATAGTGATACATCTTCGTATTTTTAAATATTCTTTGATTAAATCGTAAAGATAAGATTGCAGCCATTGACCTAAAACTAATATCTTCGTCTTTCGAAATTGAGGATACCATTGAAATCGCATTAATATAAACATTAGCTTATCGATCTCGAAATTACGAAATAAGCGGTACACCTAACAAAATATTAAGGCAAACTGAACCAATCTACGTGTTCATAGACATCTATCAATCATGTTTGGTAGCATGTTGGTAGCACTTTACACAGCTAGGAATTAAATTGAGAGATTTTACCTGATCTCTCCTACATAGGAGTTGATCGGTGCTTCCATGATACCAGTTCCTAATCCCAGGAGTCCGTTTGCGATGAACAAAGAAGGTAAATCCCATGAGAAATACAGCAGTATCCAAGCAACAAGATGAGGAATATTGACCAAGAAGTTAGCCCTTTTACGACCACAAAAGTCGACTATTGGACCTGACAGCAATGCTCCAACTGGCTGAGTTAAATAAGAAAGACTACCTGAAAAAAAATCATTTTATTTTTACCCGACTAACAAGAAATAGTTTTTATTAAAGATACAAGGACAGTAGACCTTTACGACGGTGGCCTGTAACATTATATTATAATGTAACATAACATAATCTTCAGTTGAAAATGTAGTGAGAAATTAAATACAATATACAAGATGTTGTATAACTAATATTTGAATACGGCAAATAATTCAAAGGACTGCATTATTCACCGTCTTCATACCAGATAAGAATATGCGTCAATGCCCTCAATCAGTCAAAAATTGTTGGAAAGCACTGAAGCAAGAAATAAAGACAATAAATAAAATAATAATTGTTTAAATAAATTATTTATTGAACTCGGAGATTATTAATATTTAAAAGGATTTTTAAAAGATACTTACAGACCCTACTTTTTTGAAATCTTAGATTTGAGAACTTTGACGTCACAATATGGCGCGATTTAATGCTCGTCTTATTTGGACCGTATTGTATAGTATTATCACATGTCATTTACCATTATTTTAACCAACCATGTAGTTACGTTGTTACAGTAAATTCACTGGTTATCTTTTACAGAATGAAAAAAACATCGAATAGGTAAAAAAAACAAGAACAAAATGACATTGAGTAATTCATTAAACACACAGTTTAAAAATTTCCAAGTCCATATAAGTTGGTTATCAAAGAAAGAATGGATGGATTGTGTGAAAGAGAATATGCGTAAGAAGAATAAGAATTCAGATATGACGGGTGATAGAGATGTATGGAGGAGTACATACTGTACTAACCCTCTGTAGGGATAAGAGCAGGTTGATGATGATGATAAATTATAAAAAAAAAACTGTTAAGATTCAAGTCAGTACACTGTGGTCTAAAAATAAGTGATTGGAATAAGCCTAACTGACCACGGAGGATGTTCGCGTTTATTTGCTTCTTTGTGTACGTATATAGCTTAAACGGCTTGAGTCATTTTGAACTGCTAGTAACATTCAATTCATATCCTTTCTCGAAGTATCCTCGGGGTATAGTTAGTAGAGTTTTAGGTCATACTAGTTATGGAATATTAAGTAGTTATGACGGTTAATTAAGCATTATGAATATTAAGGAGAAGCAGAATTTTGTTTGGAACTATTCCTGCCGCTGAGTTCCGTCATCGGACATCACGACTCACCGCCAAGTTTCATCCATACTATCTCGATGGCTGGCAAAACACAACCGTGCGGTTTTCACGAAATTTTGCACCTCGCACAGCATCTGGTCACAGATGAATGGTCTGTCCATGGCGGTATTTCCAAACCGTTACGACTTAGGGTCCTCAAGAAGCGAACTATCACCATCTCAAAGGCCGGCAACGCATCTGCGGTTCCTCTGATTTTGCAGATGTCCATGAGCGTCGATGAATATGTCGGTGTTCCCTCTGCTTGTTTGCTCCTAGTCTTATAAAAATAAAAAAATAAAAAATATTATCTTACCAAACCAAGATGCTTGTGTTTCATCCAATGATAATCCTTCTTTGGCGTTAAGAAGACTCGGTACGGCGATTGTAGTGAAACTAATCGCCATACCGAGGTCTAGAAGCAGAAAGTTGGGCGGCATACATGCTATCACCTGGAATACAATTGCGTTGAATTAAAGAAGTGGTTCGTTTAACATTTCAATCTTTAGTCTTAATTGAAATATTCAAATTGACAGGTCTATTAAATCCATTGATATTTGTTTTATTATGCCTCGTTTGCATTATGGTAATATAGTTGGACAGTCGTGCTGAACCCGCATGGATTGTATTGGCTCACTGGCACCAGTTAGTGTTTACATGATGCCAGTACTGGTATACTGTATTACTGTACTGGAATATGGTAAACCCGTATTGTAACATTTTGAAATATGTGGCCTTCATTTATTATTGACTATCACGGCGCCACAGAGCTGACAAAAAGACAAATTAATATACGTGTAATTTAAATCAATTTTCTTTTCGAATATTAGCATAGGTTTCGATAATTTTTTTGGAATAAAGAATTCGCATAAGGTGATACATTTACTCTTTAAATGCCTGCCATATAATTTGGATGTTTATTGTTACAAGCACGAAATTTTGTGATTGACCTTTTTGTGTGATGTACATAAGATTACATTGGTGTAATACAAAGTAAAGTCGAGATGTTAAAGCCAAGGTAAACTACTGTTCTTTAGAGTTAAAACACGCATGTACGCACACATCAATGAATAAATGGATTTAATATCAGTTTAAGGCCTAGTAATTACGCAGAGATATCAAATTAAAATTCAACAACTTTGTGACTAGTAAAGTTTATAGCTTTGCAATTTAAATATCAACTATTAAAATATCGTTTAAATGTGAAAGTAGAAACTTATAAAACTGGAAACTGGATTCTAAGTGCATAAGTAAATGAATACAGCATAGATTGATAAAGTGGCTATCCTATTTTAGGTCTCTAAACATATTACGTGAAAAAAAATGAACCATAAAATAGGAACCATAACATCATTGTGCAAAAATTCTTTAAAAATACGTAAAAAATGGACCGTGATGTAATTAATTAATCGTTGGTTTCTATGACCAAAATCCTTGTATAAAACTTCCTCCGTCTCCTTATCTTTGACTAAACAGATATAATTTACGAGGATTTAGGTCTCAGAAGCCATTGATGAAATTGAATTAAATTGATTTGAAGAGTTATTTTATTATTAAAAGTCGATTAGCTTTCAATAAAGTGTGGATGATTTTTTACAAGACATTGAACTTGTGTTTTAAAAAGTTTCTCTTTCTTCTATTATATTATACGAGTATAAGTGAAAGACGTCAACGCAAACATTGCATGTACATATTATATATAGATATTTTATTGCTGTATTATACAGGTTAACAATGTTTTAAGACGTTAAATTCTTTTGTTAAGTAAATCCTTTACATGTTTGTTATCATGAAAGCACTAAAGATTATTTCTTTGTATGTACAATGTAAAACATCATGTATTAACATTTTGTTTAACTATTCACAAACTAGCGATCGCCCGCGATTTCGTCAACACAGAATTTACAAACCGTAGATCATAATATTCCATACACATCAGCAACCTTCCATTGAAAATTCTGTCGAAATCGGGTCGGATCCAGTCGTTTCGGATAGACAAACAGACAGAGAGACTGACAGGCAACCGAAAATTATAAAATTTGGTTTTTCGTTATAAGCAACGCAAATACATGATGTCTACAAAAAAGTATTTTTTTCTTAATTACATACAGACACTGCAATTTTATTATATGTATAACTTTGGTTTTCAACTGCAGTGACAAATTCTCTTTAAAAATACAGAGAAAATATTATGGCAAGATAAGTATAAACGCAGTCGAAGCCTATCTTAAAGGATTTCTGTTAAACAAATATAGTTAAATAATGATTCAATCTTCCTGTTTAAATTAAAGTATTTGATGTACATTATAATAAGATGGCCTCGTTTGCAGCTGTATTTTTATTTGCGCATGATTTATATCAAAAATAAAAAGAAAATAACGACAGAGAAAGACAATTCGCAATATTTGAGCCTTCGCTGTCGAATAAGAATTGTGGACCTTTTTATTGTTAAAACTTAATGAGACCTTTATATTTATTATATAACTAGCTGAACCGCGATCCAGTCCGCTCGGAATTAAAAAAAATCTTAATTAATAGCCTATGTGTTCTTCCAGACTATGTTCTATATCTATATCAAATTTCACGGCTATCTGTTGAGCCGTTCTGGAGATACCTTCAAACAAACATCTGTCCATCCATCTAAACATTCGCATTTATAATATTAGTAAGTTTATTTAATTATCAAAAATTAAATATATTTTTGATGTATTTGCTTGGTGGTTACCAAGCGTGTAAAACCTTATTTTTATTCTTTTTGGAACATCGTTTATTATTGACTACAAACAATTTAAAAAATTAAAGACTTTTTAAGGAAATATCAAAAAAGTTAGTCGATATCACAGGGGACCGAAAAGCTGGCAGCAACCTCGGACAAAGAATTAGTATAGGTATTCAACATGGGAACGTTGCCAGTATCTTCGGAATCTTGCCTAAAGGGACTCCGTTTAATAATATATTTTAGTTAATATTTTATTTAATATCATAGACTTAAAAAAATGTAATAATATTATTTTTAAGATATAACAATGGAAGTCCACCGTTACAATAACCTTTATTAAGTTACAGATACTGATCGACGTAATTTTATTTGTTTATTCACCTCACACATACAAAAATATTCCGAAGTATGTAAATGTCAATTCCATATAAAATGTTTTTCGAAATATTTTTACTTACTCTCGGAGTGGTATTACTTTTTTTTGGGTCATTTTGAGTAAGATATTGCAACTCTTTAGTCTCACAATGAGACAATAAAGAAAGTTTACGGCCTTGTTAAAAGTTAAATACGAGCATTAACTTTTGGTAAGAATCGAAGTCGTGATTTTTTTTGGACTCAAGCCAAACTCTCAAGCTTTAATACAATGGTTAATTAAGATTTGGAAGAAGGTAAAGATTTTTTATAAGAGAAGGGGACAAACGAGTGGTGGGAACAACGAGGTGATAAATGACACCCATGAACAACGGCAAAATCAGAGGAACTGCAGAAGCGTTGTCGACCTTTCAGAAATAGATGGTCTGGCTTCTTAAAGGATCCTTCGCAATTATTTGATATACAGCCGAGGACAGACTGTTCCACAACGCGTATGCGTCACTTGTGTTATATATTTGCAAAATAATCAAGGTATTCATTTTATATAGTTAATTTGAAACATGTTGAAAAAACGGAGGCTATAATTGCGTGCCTGATATCCTACAGAGATCTTATTTATTTTTAAAAATATTAAAATATTTACTAACCTGAGAAGCAACACATCGTATTCGACTAACAGGGATAGTACTCGTAATTTGATCTTGTAATTTATGCACCATTTTTAATTAATTATTAATTAATAATTACTAATTAATAAATAATGATGCCACTAAAATTATGCACCTTATTAAATAATTATATTTGCGTGATAAACATTTCTTCACTTCGATAACACTGAATGCGAAAATGACGGTACAAATATATTTCTTACGTCGCGGCTGTCACATCCTATGATTGTTAACTCACTGTCACTACACGCACTTGTACGTTGTATGTACCCAGTATAGCGCTATTCAAACATAATGGGCGCTCGTAATTTGATACGAGCACGATGTGTCCGCCCGCGTAGCCTAAAACTATAGAGGCGAGTCAGCTTTATATACCATTCTTTTATCCGTAGTTTTCACAGCTGTACTAACATGAGCTCGCAGTTAACAACGAGTGAGCATAAAGTATGAATCATCCAATACCTACCGGTTTATTCTGTATGTCGAAATTGAGTATGTTTAGGCTTTTTGATAGCATTTATCTCTGATCTGTTATGATTATCTTCTTGCATTTTGTAACATTGTATAAGTATTGAAATTTTATTATACTATCGGATTAAATAAAACCAAACGCATACTTAGTTATACTATCACTTTATTTACTTAGTAAAATATTTATATTTAATGAGTCTTATATTTATTCGTTAACATTTCTCCTCTTTAGCCTTTTTATTGTGTTTATGACAGGATCGTTAGCGAACGTTTGTATTTTATCGCCGTTGAAGAAATATTCAATGTCTTCAAGACTCATGCCTTCGGTTTCTGGCAGGAAGAAGTACAGGAAAATCGTGCCTACGAAGCCGAAAGCCGCGTACACCGCAAAAGTACCCCACAACTGTCCGTAAACCTCCAGATCTATGAGTGACTTCGCTCCGAGGAATGTGAAAACGTAATTACTCGCTGCTGCGATACCTTGGGCTGAAGCTCGACTTCTGTAAAATAAAAAAACCTATTATACAGATAGATAATAAAAACAACTTATAGAATCCTGTTGTTTTTAAAGAGTAATGAAGCCACGGTTCGGCTAATGCGGTAATAGTTGGAACCGCTTATACCTTTTTTAATTGATTGTTGATGAATGATTGTATTAAGATTTATAATACAGTCTTTCATCTTATTTTTACATCAATTTCAACTCTTATTTTACTCTTAGTATCGCTAAGAAGATTTATAGATGCATCACTAGATTTTTGTAACATAAAGCATTCTTTTGCAACAGAGCTTGATTGAACAATCTTGATTGTTATTTTTATTGTATGACGATTAAATTATTAAAACTTTCGTGAGACATTATAATAAAGTGATGTAACGATTAATAACTTTTAGTAGCGTAGCTTACCTGAATGGGAAGACTTCTCCAACAAGAACCCATGGTAAATTAAATCCGGTGAAGAATGCCATTAAATAAAAGAGTATTAGGGGCACATAGCTCGTTTCCTTAGGGAACGTACTAGTGTCGTAGGAGAATACAGAATCATCGAGATTGTATTTAGCGTACACGCTCAAAGCGGCGCAGGAGATAGCAGTGCCGAGCAAAGAGGTGATGGCCATCTTACGTTTGCCGACATATCTGATCGACGCTATGACAAGGATGCTGCAGCATATAGTAATTATGCCAACATTCAACTGCAAAAAATTTAAATCTAAAATTACAAATATAAAAGAAGAAACTTGATTGCAATGTTTTTCTAACAATACAAAGATCTTTGCAACCAATAGTTGATACTTACAACAATATCCTTGCCGTCCTGAGCCATACCGAATGCACCACAGATGTTGACCATATTAGGCTTGATAGGTGTCAGACCACTCATAACGTAGAACATAAAGTAGACCATTACAAAGATCAAAGGTCTCAGTGTCTCTTTGGCAAGCATTACGTATCTAAACTTGTACAATGATCTGGAAATACATAAAAGTAAAATGAAAGTATTGTACAGTATTACATATTATAAGATTGAACAACTTAGACCAATTCAATAGGCAATATAATACAAATTAAGACGGAAATTCAATTGTTATGGTATTTCTCGCTTGGTATTAGGAAATCTAAAATTTACGCATTTATTCTTAATGATAAGCTTTGTTTCTATTTGAACTAAACAATATTCTTCAAACTTCTTCTCATGGGTCGCCCCTACTAACAAAGTACGTAAAACTTTATTGTTGTGTAGTAATTGCTTACCTCCTAATAGGGTTCATTGTAACATGTTCGCATGTTTGCGTATCTCTGTTGTACAATTTATAGCAAATAACACAGTTCTGTAGTTTTTTGCTATAATCCACCAGTTGATCAAATTCCTCTTTGACGTGCTCCGGCGTCGTCCAACCTCGCAGTTTGCACAAAGAATTTAAAGCATCCTTTTCCCTACCGCGTGATAGCAACCAAACTGGAGTCTCTGGTACCTGAAACAGTGAATAATCATTAATAATATGTAACTAGTAATTTGCCTAAATTAAAATAATACATAATTACATACGTATTACAATCTTGCTTCATACTAATATTATAAATGCAGATGTCTAGATTGATGGAGGGATCTATGTAAGAAAATATCTTCAGAACGGCTGCATGAATCTTACTGAAATTTATCATAGATATAGAACATAGACTGGAAGATATATTAGCGTGGAATAGCTACTAATATTATATTTTTTTAGTTATAATTCACATTTTACATTTTCGTTTAATAACTCTGAGCTATAGTTAAAATATTTTTAAAGAAAAAAAGAAGACAATTAAATTTTTACACACGGTACTAAGACAAAAATAAATTTATTATAGAATTTTCCTTAATAATTATTAAATAAACTGTTTTATTAATTGTTTTAAGACTAAAATATGAAGCTTGTCCAAGGTAAAGATTCACGGGCATTTGACAAAAACACAGCAATATTTTGTCGGCGGATACACAGAAATCTTGTTTTGTTAACAGGTGCAACAAAAAATATTTATCTTCTCATTATCTTTGTATCCACAGCAATGTGAATTGTCCTTATTAAGTAAGGTTCGTAATTAAATCACACTTTTATGTATCTTACGATTCATATTGAAATTTAATTTTACAGTTATGTGAGGACTTCAATGTTACGATTTTGACCGCCTTTTTACGCAGATTTTGTAGATTATTACCTAATTGGAGAATATGTTATCGTACAAGTTTTTAGAGATTTTTTTTTTATGATAAACTAACTGTTCTTCACTTGCGATGTATATAAAAGAAAAAACTTACTAAATTCACGCTTAATAATTTATAACTTATAAAATTTCATAGCAAATTTACTAACATATAACTTTTTGTATACAAAAAACAAAGGCGTACAGGACTTAATAGCATGAAACAGAGATTGTGCTACATCATTATCTTGGATCCATAGTATTTGAATACTTACCAAAAGCACCAGAGCCATGGAACAGATGGGTACAGCCAAACTGATGAGAGCCGCGCTCCGCCAGTCCACCACAGCCCCGAGGAAATACATTGCAAAAGTGCCCAGTGACAGGAACAGCTGAGTAAATGTTGATAGTGATCCACGAATTGACGGCTCACTGAAAAAAAAAATGTATAAGATGAAATATCATATAAACTCCTTGCAATAAATATCGCCGATAGCCAGTTGTTCTAAGTATGCGATTCAACTTGAAACAACTGTGTGTTTCCACTACCATAACATTTGGTACAAAATCTAATTTCGTCTCTCTTATTCTCCTAGAAAATATTGAAGTATTTTTAAACCAGTGATATCTAATAATCAAATTAAATATTAAATACCAAAATTACCTGATTTCACCAACATATGCGTTAATAGGTGCTTCCATAATACCAGTCCCTAACCCCAGTAAAGCATTGGCCATAAAGAGGGAAGGCAGATCCCATGAAAAATACATTAGAATCCATGCTATTATGTGAGGCAGATTCACTACGAAATTAGCCCTTCTTCTTCCTAGGTAATCCACAATGGGTCCAGAAAGGAATGCCCCGAATGGTTGTGTAAGCGATGATAAACTGCCTGAAATAATAAAAGTAAATTAACTAAGGGATTGTTAACAAAAATATACATAAAAATAACCTAACTAAAATTAACTTATTTTTTATTACAGCTTTGAAAATTGTTTATTAGTTTATTCATCATGATTTTAGAAAATAATTACAAGACTATAAATGAATATTAGTTATGGTTATACATAAAAGTTAGCTTATGCCTGTATTGATTGTCATGAGTATTGATTGTCAACAATCTGTAAACGTCAATTTAACAACATTAAACAATTCGGGTAGTGACTGCAAAGAAAATTTTACGTAATAATGCCATTTAATTTAAATGTAATAATAGTCATTTTTCCATGCACATCTCAAATAAATTCTTGTATTCTTCTAATCAAGCGGGTAAACTCATTTGAAAATTAAGTCGTCTTCAATACTCCGTTTTGTATTCTTATTGAATCTTTCAAGACGCGTGTGTATTTTACATGTGGTTTAAAACTAGTATTGTGTTATCTATTTTTGTTTGTTGAAAATAAGTGATGAGTTTAATTTAGTTTTAATACGGAGTCGTAGTTAGTTTTAATGGAGTCGGGTACTATCAACGAGTTTGCGTTCGTGGTAAGCTTTGATTTTTAAATAGATCCAAACAAATATAACAATTTGTTGTCGGGTTAAGTTACGAATACCCGAGATTTAAGTTCATTTCTTACGCAACGTTCAAATAAACTTTAATGTAACGTACTTAAGTTTTAAATACTCACCAAACCAAGATGCTTGCACGTCATTCACTGATAAGCCTTCCCGGGCGTTAAGTAGAACTGGCAGTGCTATCGTTGGAAAACTGATTGCCATCCCAAGGTCCAGGAGAAGAAAATTTGGAGACAAGGATGATATTATCTATAACAGAAAACATGAAAAATGTCTTCATTTTGTAAATATTTGGGGCGATGTAAACAAAAGTACTACTCCGCTCCCGCTAGTTTCGTGCGCTTCACTTTATTGTGTACGACCTGTCACCCGGGACTCTATAAGCACGTAATCAGTAGCCTATGTGATGTTTCAGACTATGTTCTATATGTATACCAAATTTAATAGAGTTTCATTCAGCACTTTTAGAGATACCCTCAAATATCCATCCATCCATCTAAGCATTTATGTTATAATATTCGTAAGCTAACATCGTTCCGCTCTGCCTTTCGGCCCGCTCTGCTTTACGGATATTTCGTGCCCGCGGCCTAAGACGAAGGTTTTTTTAAGTTTTTAAACTTAAGCCTGTTGTCGAAAATACTGAACATTCACACGTTGTTTCCGTTAATTGTCTTTTAGGTTTTTATG